TTTTTTTGCGGAATGTATTTTCGTTCAGTTTAATAGACGGTCAACGAAGAGTACATGTCTTTATGGAGAGTAATGTAGTGTGAATTAATTTACTCTCGTTTACTATTATTCTTCATAAGCCAATTTTGAAGATGGTTATTTACACAATTTTATTTCTGATGCTATTGTTGCTTCTTGATGTATTGTTAATATTGCTGTATCGTCTGCGTATGTTACTGTCCAAATATTTGGAGACTCTTGTAGCCCCGATTTATATAACAGGTATAGTGTTTGGCCTAAAACATTACTCTGCGGTACTACTGCTTTTAATACTTGGCGTTTCAAAATTTGTTTATTGATTTTTACTCGAAAGGTTTTATCTTGCAGGTATGATTGCAATAGATCACTGTAGCGTTCAGAGAAAAATTCCTTCAAATTGGGTAGAAGCCCCTTATGACAGACCTGAGCAATGTCAAGAAATATGCTTGTGCAGTGTTAATCATATTCGATGGGTTGCCTCGCTATAGATATTATTCTGTTCACTTGTTTGATCATAGAGTGATGACACCTGAATCCGAATTGGTGATCCGAGATAAGTTTTCCATTTATGATAATTGGGTTAATTCTAACTAGTATGATTTTCTTATAAATTTTTGAAAGTATGCAGATAATTCTTACTTGTAAAGTTAGTTTCTGGTATTAGTACGGTTAACTTTGAGGACGATTTTCACCTTTTCAGTGTTTTTCTACTGATAAAAAACACGCATATATCTTATTTTTTCATGAATATATCAAAAGATTATTGAAATCGTAGGTTGAGCGTTACATCCTATTTTCTCTTCTCTGATGACGAGGGACTCTCCTTCGACTTCTTTTCAACTTTATCGTTCAAATGTAAAGAGCGCCTGAAGCATCACTCACAGCTATGCACATCATACAAGTCGAGAGGAATTGGCGGAGAGTTTAAGTTTTTCAATTCATTTCGAAGTTTTTCAACTATTTCGATGAAAATGTTTATTCACTTCGTTTCTTTTATTATAAACTCCTGATAATAATACTATTTGCCCACGCTTTCTATCTGCCTTTGCTGATTGTTCCCGAATAAGGGACTCCTTGCGAATAACTTTCAGGCTCCTTAACCGTGCAAGAGCGAAAAAAGTAAGTCACTCATTGGCGCAGTAATAAATGTCACCGTCCAATCGGCTAATCACTCCGCTTTCCATATTGTAAAATAAACCACGAGAATATATGATTTCCTATTTCATGTGACGATTTTTATGAAGGCGAGAAAGACAGAGCAAGTTCGAACATTAAATAGAGTGATAAGATCGGAGACGGAGAGAAACGAGAGACGGATCCAAAAAAAAATGGATCATTGAAACACATCATAAGAATAGTCAAGGATTTCAAGATTACGATGATGAACGCAATAAGAACCAATGAGCTAACATCAGACATTGATAACAATAAGAATGACAACAACAAATAGTACATAAAGTTTTTAAAAAGATAGCTTTTATTAAAGAATCTTCTTTTGAACCAGAATTATCAACAGGTTGTTTAACAAACAATATAAACCTATTAAAATAGTTTTTAACACAATAGACAAGATAGCTGAAGATAACAATAATAAAATAAAATATGCCAAAGCAGTACCTACTCATGGTAGGTAATCTGATACAGCAACCAAACTGTTATCGGATGAACTACCGGGACATCAACTATCTAGAAAATAACAAAGTTCTACTCTATTTTGATAGAAGATTCAAAGGAAAGCAAATTTTCATCAGATCAATGCATTCAATGAATATACAACCAAAATATAAAGATCTAATAGTTGCTGATGACACAGTTTTTACATCTACCTGCAAATGTAATTTAGATACACAACATAAAAAAATGTTTCCTCATAACAAAGTAACATGTGAATTGGACTCACATATCCACCTAGATTAAATTCATATGAAAAAATAATGTATGCAAGGGACAGAACAACAGCCACAAAATATTATACAACAGCTAGATCCATGCTTATTAAATTATGGAAATAAAATTATGATCTACACAGTGCGTTTGTATCTGCTTAATTAAGATGGTAGACTTATGCTACTAATGTATAAGTAGGCAGAACAATATACAATATATATTAGTTTTTTAAGTTTGTTATATTTAAGTCATCAGACTAGCATACAGGAAATTACTTTTCTGTACTACGGCTGAATTATTACTATGATTTATGTATAGTACTCTGATAATAAATAAATAAATACATTAAAAAAAATAAACATAAATAATTTAAGGCCAATTTCCGCAAATTTTTCTGTCATGAGATCAATCGCAATGACCTGTGCGACAAAATTTAGCGTCGTTACCAGAGGGAGAGCGAGACCATTGTCGAACACCTCAAAGCGTTTCAATGTATCATGCATTGCATGTAGCCATGTTTTTCTGCTGCCAATTATTGAAGGTTATTTCTCAAAGTTCTGCATTTCGAATACCAACAGTATTTCGAAGATAAGAGGATCGATGATCTGAGCGATGTGCAATTCTTCGGCGACAAGCTGGAAAACTGACACGGACGTGAGAGAAAGTGATGCGAGACACCTCCCCTCCCCCGCCAACCATCACAGTTGTTGATCCCAGACGCGGCTTATGCTTTAGCAAAGACGAAGTCGGCAGTCGCGAAGTCGGTGTCCAGAAAACGAAAAGGTTAGTTAAGAAGCGTAATAAGAAGGTGTGGTAATGTTATGAAATATTATCGTGCGGTCAATCAATGCGTCGACTTCAACTCCCAATCTTCCATACGCTAACACCAATTCTATGACTGTAAATAGGACCGTCATAAGGATTGCAGGAAAACCGTGTAGTGCGCTGTTTGATGCTGGCATAAAGGTAATAGTTGTAGACCTCAGGATAAGAAACGCGTTAACGAGCGGATAAATAATGCGCACCAATCTTGCTGGATCGGCGACCATGGTACATGGTTTCGTAGGCAATTCAGTAGAGATCGTGACGATGCTCCGGCTAATAATAAAGATAGACGGTGTAGAGCGTACAATCGTGGAACTAGCAGATCAACAAGGGAAAGAAGGGCATACATTTCGCAAAAGTCACAAATTAGTCTTCGTCCCATTCGAGCTTTATAGAAAGTTCAAACACATGGAATCGGGGTTGTTGAAATTATAACCTTGACGTGACATTATATTATCCAGAGCGAGTCGACGAAATAGTAAAGCATGTACAACCTTTGGAACCGATAATATTTTAGACCATCTGCGTGGAGCATACTTTATACCGAAGACAACCTGAAAAGCGCGTATCTTCAGGTATCTCTGTTGGCAGATAGCAAGTGGTACATAGCTTTCGGTGCCAAAGACTGCGAGTTCTAAGAGTGCAACTAATGATATTCGGACTAGTTATTGCGCCGCTATTAATGAGGAAGCCATGACCACGTACAACGTTCTTAGTGCTCGAGAAACAGAGTCATGCCGACTCCAAGTCAAATAACCAAATAACCTAATATTCCCCTGGCATTCCCTCCTCCACATCCCAGATCGCTCCCGCTGACATCTCTATCGCTCTTTTCTCATCCAAGGACACAATTGTCGTGCGTGTCCTTCTCGATAACTCCCACACTGATCTAACCGCTTGCACGTCCGTCGCATCCACCATGGCAGACAATTCCGGCCAAGTGAATCTCTATTAAGATCAGTGGCAGTCATATGAGCACTGGGTATCTTTCGTTTAGCCTTCATTAGCTCGCGAAACACACCCTCATCCTTGAAAATTACAATGCAGGTGGGTAAGGCCGACCTTGACTTCCGCGTTTTCTCTTGAGCCATCTCCCCGCATTGATAGCAACCCCCCGTAAACCGCCGCAAGTTCATTATTAATAAGACAAGTCCAGAGTCCCAAGGAAGTGATCGTCAATACTCTTATATCCATCTGTTTTACTGCTTATTTCCATTGCAGTATCATTCTGGGTCGATGCTAGACAACACGCTCGACAGAGCTACGAGTCTCAGTCAGCTAGGGCCCTTTGGCAGCTCTCACAGGTTCAATCAATCACTTTGGCGATAGGTTCCGCTTCTTTGCAGAATTTCTTTGCAGACCAAGAGTGGTCGAGCATCAACCAGCCAATTTTATTATTGCGCAGCTTTCTCACCTGAATTTTTCTTGCGAACACTCACAATAGCCTCCACTGATCACCTTGCTGTATTCTGAGTACTACTAGCCGATGTTGATGACTTTTGGGTCTCAGCTCGATAGTTGTTATAAGATCCATATTTCGTTCATTTGATGTGAGCGAAAATAAAATTTAAAAACAAAAAAAGATTTTTTAATTTTCCGCGCTCCTTTTGTTGAGTTGATTCAGACATAGCGATGGATAGGCGCAGGCGCACTAACAGGCAAAGATTTTGAGTACGGTGTTCAAGCCGTGTAAAGACAGAACTGCATCGAATATGATGACTTACCAGGCAAGAGAGAGAGAGAGAGATTCAATAAGCGAGTTTTGCTGTGATCAAGTTTGAGTGATTGGATCGGCTAACGATATGATTGAATCGTCCTCGTGTGGTGTAGAAGGGCTTTTTATCCACTCCTTCTCTTTGTTTTACCGCTATTTCTCTAACGTCGACAATTCATTCACTGTGCTGTATTTATTTTTTTCACTCTTATGAACTTATCTTATGAACTGCTGTGCGGCACGAAAGTAGTACTTATTATGAATACCGAGGAATATTCCTATGAAAAGATACATGCTACAAAAATATATAATGCAAACTTAAAGAATAGGAAGAAAAAGAGAGAAAGAGGAAAGTATAACGAGTATAAGATTTTTTACTCCTTATTATATCTGTGTGTGTGTTTGTATGCGTGTATGTATGTATTAATACGTTACTTTCCGTTGTAATACATTTCAAAAAATTATTCTTTTACTGCATTCGCATAAATGTTTAGTTAAAAATGGAAAATTTTCAAATAACTAGAGATTAAAATATTGATAATACTATTTCACTTACTGTAATACTATTTGTGTAATGAAAAGATCGATTTCGTTCGTATAACCTTGCTCTTCGTAAAACTCTACCATCATTGTAGCACATTTATCGCCGTTGCTAGAATACAGAAAATGTTGACGAGCATACAAATAATTTTTTTCTGAAACAAAAAAATTTTGATAATTATAATAACAAAATATAATTAAATTTTTTAAATTTATAAAATATTTCTAACGTAAATTAATTAGTGTAGTGATTTAAAAATATTAAAAAAATATTTAGATAAATTTCAAACTAGAAAATATTTGAAACTATGAAAAATGTAAAAAAGGTAACAGAATATTTGGAACAGAAGAGAATACTATTTCAGATCTATCTGGAAGTACGTCTATATTATAAAATTTACAATGTATTTGCCATAATAAACGACGAACAAAAAAAATTTGTATAAAAAAGTGTTACTCAAAAGGTAACGGTTTATTATTAGTGCAGGAGTCAGCATTCAGAGCTTATAGCTGTTAATTATTATCAATATAATGGTCAAAAGTAGAACGTACAACGTATATTCTAGTAAAATCTAAAAATACAGACGAGAGATAACTAGATAGAAGATCCTTTAATTGCCCCGAGGCAAAAGTAAAAATACATTCTTTAACAATATATATGACAAAATTTAATCAAGAATATCTTTCAAATAACTAAAAGTCATGAAACCATGTCACACGCATAAATAGAGAAAATCAAGTCTAGATACTTTATCACAATTCAGTAAAACTAGTATAATTTATTTTAATTTACAGAGAGAATTTCATAGGTGAGTACCAGAGACCGGTAAGGATATAGACTCAGTTTCAATTCTCACTTTAGGAATATTGAGCATTGACCATTTTATACTACTAATGAAACCGGGTCTGTGAGCAGCGAAAAATTTAATTAAATATATCAGCTCCCTCGTACGTGTATTTTTGTACATAATAAAGGCAGTAAAATAGATTCCGCGAGAATTAACGCGGAGTAAATCAAACTTCGTCCGGTAGGAGGTGATGTGCTTAACTCTCTTCACACCAAAAATATACCGAATACAGGCGCTACTGCTTCTGTACAGTCAAACTAGCTTCTTGAAATGCATCTAAAGAATCTAGCATGAAGTAATCCAGATACGTCTAAATCAGAGAATCTAGTAGTCTTCTGCGTAACGTCACCACGATACTAGATTTAATAATAATGTGCAAACTATATAGCGCCTTATTGACCTCTGTTGTAACTTGCTCCATATTCTGTCTCTATGTCAATTTATTATCTAGCATGACACCAATGGTGACAACCTCATCACTAAAAAGAACGAGAACTCCATCGCACAGTTAAATGACCCAATACCTTTAATGGTATTGATGTTTTTAATATTTCTTTGGAAAATATCAATAATTCCTTTGTTTTGTTGGCATTGTTTTTGGAAGGCCACTTTGAGCCATTCGACACAAAAAAAAATGGATACCTGGTTTTTCAGGATTCGTCGTTGCTGATGCAGCTAGTTTTTTTACTTTGAATTCGTTGCGTATGTATAGAATAGACTCCACCTCCATTGACGTTCTGATCATTTCTCGTCACCGAAAAGTCTTGTTTCTAAATAAGACTGTCATTAATCACAAATCCGACTTACAATATTATAAAAATGCGATAGAAGGGATTGTCGACCAAAAATAGACGGAGTTCCTCAATGCATACCGTAATATATAATTCACATTGAGAAAACCCACACGGAGGGATCTCACACATCCATCCAATCGTGCATCGAGCGGCGAAAACAGTTATTGCGATGACTGTAGTACCGCATCGCTCGTCTTTTCCAAATTTACGGGAATAAGCTGTAGATATAGTTTGTGCCTTTTTAGCTTGATGGAGCTTTTTAGGGGTAGCTGCGCTTCTCTCTCTAATCGCTCGAAGATCAACAGCAGACGCGGAGACATGCGCCCGTCCGCGAGATTTTCGTTTCACTAGGAAGTTACTGTCACTATACCACATATATTGAAGCTGTCGAGGGCCTTAGATTTTTGTATATCTCAAACCATGGTCGAGGTAATAACTCGTTTATTAAAATTTTCCATTGTGGCAGAAACGGCGTTTTGCTCTTGTTACGTCTAATACTTCCTCCCCGGATACCAAGTGTCACCACACAGAAAGGAAATGTATTTCGCAATGTCGTTCAATTATTAGATTCTCCATCATCTTCTTCACCAAACTAATGATACTCCTCTTATCCAATGAGTGTATCCGTGTGAATCCATATTTCTGATAAGGGAAAACAACTGTCTTTTAAAACATCATGGAGAATCAGCTCGCCACCCCAGACATCTTCATTACCAAAGTTCAAATCCAAACCACCAGTGCCTGCCAACGAGGGGGTATGCTCGTGTGACTGAGAATGTCTTATTGAATTTTCGAGCACTATACTATTGGTAACCATGTCAAATATAGTTTTACTACTAACACAAGCGTCATGATTACATTTTTTATTACTATTGTTCTTGATTGCCACCCTGGCTGTCTCCTGCCTGTATTAATGTATTATTTAATTGTTGTTTTAAGGACTGATTTTCACTTGAAAGCATAACAGTAAAAGGCAACATTTACCTTGCATCTTCAAAAGCATTGAGGTTGATCACTCCAAGAACATTAATCAATCACTCAAGAGTCGAAATTCTATAAACTAAGGTTCACTCAGTCTCGAATAGTATATGGACATTGGAAGGCTCCCTACGATAGAGCGTCCCCTTACAAGGGATCCGAGTTTACGAGGGTCGTGCAATAAGTCCGTGACTTCTCGGGAGATGGTGGTGTTATCGTAACGTATTTTACATTGTAAGAGTATCTGGTATAAGTGCTTATATAAAGTTTCAAGTCAGTACGTTGGTTTGAAAATTTGTTATAGTCATTTAAATTTAATTTTTCACTGTATAAACAAATCATGGAAAAAATGAGTTTCATGCGCTTGTTTAATATTATTTCCTACGCGGAAAATCAATCAAATAAACTAAAGGAAAGCTCAGAAAATAATATGGAGACTTTGCTCTATCGCATGGCATGGTTCAAAAGTGATTTACTGAATTTCGTTTCGAGTGTAAATGCACGAATGATGCTGAATGAGCGTCCTGGCCGTTAAAAGGAGGTGACTGCTCTAGACATGATCGATAAAGTTCATAATATTGTACTCGCCGATCTTCGATTGAAAGTGTGTGAGATTAGTGAGGCTCATAACATTTCAGTAGGAAGGACACGAAACATTTTACATGAATGTTTAAGGAATTTGTCTGCAAGACGTGTGCCGCGCTTGCTCACAGATAATAATAAGCAAGCTCGTGTGGTTACGTCTGAGCAATGTTTGAGTATATTTTAACGTAGTTCAAAGGAGTTTTTGCGACGTAAGGTGTCTGTCGATGAAACACGAATTCATTATTATATGCTAGAAACAAAAAATTTAGACGAAAATGCAGACTTTGCCAGGTAAATCTGCGCCAAAAATGCGAAGATATTCAGTCGGAAAAGTCGTGGCTACAATTTTTTAGGACTTAAGTAGTATAATATTAATCGATTACCTACAGAGTGGAAGAACTATCACAGGAGAATATTATGCTTCATTATTAGATCGATTTGATCAATTTAATTTAAAGGAAAAGTAACCCCATCTGTCAACAAAAAACTTCTTTTCCACCAGTACAATGCAACAGGTTACAGGAGTTCTATTACAACGACAAATTTCATTGATTTACGATAAAAAATATTTCCACATCCACCTTGTTATTCAAATTTAGCCCCTTCCGATTATTTCTTTCTTATTTTCTAACATGAAAAGTTGGCTTACGGGTTAAAGATTTTCATACAACGCAGAAGTGATTGCTGCAACAAATGAACATTTTAAGGAGTTTGATGAAAACTACTTTTCAGAGGTCATAAAAAAGCTTTATAATTAATGTATAGAGTTAAAAACTATATTGGAAAATATATATATATATATTTTTATTTACAACTTATGTTACATTTGGTTTTTTTTTATTTCTTACATTACTATTTGTGTCTCGTGTCCAGTTTGTGTTTGTGTAGTTGATGATGTATGTGTTTTGTGTGTGTATGTATGTAGGTGTGTCTGTAACTCTTGTGTCTCTGTCTTCTGCGCCTGTCTGTTCCTCTTTTCTTCCTATTTTTCTGTTGATTAATCTTCTCTTCCTCTGTCTCTCTCTCTCCAAGATCTGCCTTTCCGCTCTTCTGTTTTTCTCTTTCTTGCATATTTTCTTTTCAACTTTTTCCTTTGTTACTTTCTTTTGCCTTTTCACCTTTGCCTTTCCTTTGCTTTTGCTCTCATTCTTGCTAATCATTTCATCTATCTTTCTCCTTATTAGGGCTTTGATACCTTTTTCTTATTTCCTATTACTCCCTCTGCCTTTTCTTTCCTCAACCTCACTTATTTTTCCTTAGTATCTTATAATTTGTCTTCTAACTTACCTTTTTCTTTCTCTTCTTCAATTCTTCATCTTTTCCATTTTGCTCCATCCTCCAATACCTGCTTCCTCTCGCTTGTGTAGTTGCTAGTACTTGTGTTTTGTGTGTGTGTGTGCATGTGTATGTTTATGTTTGCGCGTGTGTGCGTGTTTTGTGTGTATGTGTATGTATCTAGATGTGTCTGCGAGTCTTACTTCTCTGTCTTCTGTTTCTGTTTCTCCTTAGGGTCTTGCAGTTTCGTCCTCTTGTTTTTCTTTTTCTTTCTTCTCTTCGTTTCTTCTTCTTTTCCATTTTATCTCCATCATACACGCTATCTTTTCTTTGCTTCCTATTATTATTTTTTCCCATTCATCCCCTTCCTTTCTGCTTTTTTCACATTTTTCTACTATGTGTTTCCAATTTTCTTCCTCTTTCATACACATTCTGCATCTCTTATTTTCTTCTTTTTTCCAATACCTGCTTCCTCTCGTTTCATTACCTAACCTAAACCTTTCCCTTATTTGTAGGCCTTTTATTCTTCCCTCTCCTTGAATTTCCTTTAACCTATACCTTTTCATTTCATCTTTCAGTTCTTTCCATCTGTTTATGTATCTTGACTTTTCTAGCTTTTCTTCTAGTTCTTTTTCTTCTTTTTTCTTTAGCTCTTCTCTTATTTCTTCCCAAAAC